CTAAAAAATTCCTATGAGCTAAATTAAAAATAAATTGTCCCCTGAAAACAAACAGCAAGACAGACTGATACGTGCTGCTCACAGTAAACAGCACGTGGACTCAGGACAAGGGAATCCTATCATCCCATCCCTCCCATCCCTCAGTGCAAGGGAGGGATGTTCAGCAGGAACCCATCCCAGGCCACTGGGGACAACTGGCAGTGTGATCTTAGCATTGAATCTCAGAAGAGTCATTTGTTGTGCAGTTTTGCTTGGACACGTGGGGTTATGTCACCATAATAAAAACATAAACAAAGGGGGGTGGGGGGAAGAAAAGACAAAATGAAAACCAAAATCAAACCCTGCAGAAGCTGTCATGTGTGAACTCTGCCAAGACTCATTTCTGCATTGTCTTTGAGTTGGTGTCAATTTGTTTTTCAAGACAGAAGCCCCAGCCTTTCATATCAGTAACTACGAAAATACATTTTCAGGCCACCTTGCCTAGACTCCCCCGTTGTGGCTGTTGGATAACCATCTGTCTTGTAAGTGGCTATTGTTACTGTGATCTGTCCCTTTCATACCATTATCTTTCTGAAAAGCCTTTTCTGAAAGTAGTCCATTAGGGCAGGGAAAGAAAAACCTCAGTGCATGGCCACGAAGCAGAATCAATGGTTCCCTTTGATCTGCAAGCTCAGTCAGTACTACAAATTTAAGAAACAACACGGTTTTGCTTTGCTAAGCAAAGCCTGTTAATTTGGCTCATCTGCACTCATAGCATCTTACTGAAAATACCATCTGTATCGGATGTTTTAAGACTTTGGTGCAATACTCGCTTAGATAAATAATTTTGTAAGATTCATTAAAAAATAATCAGTGAATTAATTATCATAGAGTACATCTATGCACGTAATTTTTAAAATTCAATCCTCTACTACCCTGAATGGTGGTGAGGATATTCACAGTGGATGAAGAAAATGCTGGTTACTGATGGAATAAGACTGATCATAGTTTTTTCTTATTCTAGTCATGGAATTTCCTCTGAAATCTACTACGAATGTTTGAGTCCTATTACCGGCAAGAGCAAAATGCATATACACTACATGGAAAATAAAACCTTTTATGTTTGTTGCAGACCACACATTTAGTACTGGAAACTTAGCTCCTATCATGACAAAACAAGTCCACAAAAACATAATTTCATGCTGCTGAAAGGAAATCTTTTGTGCTGATATAAAGAACAGGAGTGTATACCACTGAAATCACTGTAGATAGCTATAAAACACTATGCAATATATAGAAAAACTCTAAGAACATACAAAATTTACCAGTAGGGACCTGAAAGTGCAAAGAGTACACATAACTAAATACCAAGTCCTGATCTATAAAATCCTTTATGAACCACATACAGCTGATAATTACAAAGCATCATTCAGACCACCAAATAACAAATGAAACAAATAAAAAAAAATATACTTTAAGGAAATCAAAACAATGACACCATTGGGAATGTTATCTTTGGGACTCAGAACACCATTTCTACCTCAATACCTACCAAAGCCAAGGAAAATATATGCTTGAACAGGGTAACACAAATAAGAATACAAGCTACCACAAAATGCCTCAGGACTGTTACTTCTTTATGTCTCAGCCTTTAAATCCAGCAAGCCATTAACTGTTTGTTCTTAGGCGTCTCACAGTATTTTACAGGGATCTTTCAGAAATTATATATAGGTCTAAAGAAAGCCTTTGAACCCCCTTTCAATGATTGTTTTAGGCATTGTGTGGAGTTATACAAATATATTTCCATGAAAATTGAAAGCCCTGGTAAATATTAGATCTTCTATTACCTTTCGAAATAAAAAACATAGATGGCTTAAAGACAAAAGTGAATTTTAGAAGTACAAAGGTAATTTGAACATGAAATTGTATCTTTACTCTCACACAACCATTACCCTGAATCAACGTCAGCATGTCGCAATGATTCAAAACACTGACGCCCTACTACCAGCTACTTTCCCATTCTCCTTTTAAGGATATGATTGTCCTTAAAATATGTACATAGCAAGCAGCCAAACAAACTGCAGAGAGATTTGCAAAATTGCTTAGAGGGGGTATGTGACAGAAAGCTTGAGGGAGTGGCTATGGAGCACCTTGGCCTGGGCAGCTGCCTTCCCACCCACGCCCCACGCCAGCTCAGAGCTCCTCATTCCCCGGGTTAGCACCCAGGAGGAGGCTGCCCCATGCAGAGGATGGAGGAAAAAACGTGGCAGAAAACAAAGGAGGAGAGAGAAGAATGAAGGGAAGCCAAAGCATTTTAATGATGATTCGTGTTAGTGGTTACGTGAGAAGGAGTTAGTCTAGTGTCACACTAATGGTTTTTCAATATAGACATGCCACAATGCAAACAAAACACATATGATAAACAATTTGACACACACAAGTCCTGTAGAGATGGCAGCTGGTATCTCCTAATGGGTTTAAAGATGCACCACTCCTACTACCTGTACTCAGTGCTTCCAGTTTTTATGGTACTACCACCACATCCTCCCTCCCTCTCAACTTCCAGTACCCTATAGAATCTCTGTGCACAATTTGTCCTTAGAACAAAATGGGGAATTATGATTTTTCTGCAGAGTTGTCATGCAAGGAAAGATGCATCCCTCACAGTCAAACAAAACCAAAATAATGGGAAAAGGAATGTCATGTTTAGGGCTGAGGAGCAGGATAATATTCTGTGTTCTGTACATACATCCTTTAGAGGTTGTTTCAGCTTTGACTTTCTAAAATGCATGAGTGGAGTCAGACCAAATGCAAATCCCTTTTTCAGGCAAAGGAAACCATGGCCAGCGTGTTTGGAGGCAGATGTGGAGCACAGCCCCCAGGCTGTGAGTGTGAGTGTGAGTGTGCACAGGGACCTTGCCAGGGGCTGTGCCCTTACTGCACATGCATATGTACAACATGTCTGCGGGAGTGGGCACACAGGGAACCACACACCTACATGTCAGGAAGAAAACATAAAATAATCCTCTTTGAAGTGTATTAAGGTTCTTAAACCATGAAAACAGGGGCTGGTCAGGGAAGCTAACACTTTCACTGGGATTCTGCAAGTCGGTATTAAATTCTGCAGCAATTTCAAAACTGGATGCCAATTTCACCTTCATGACTCTAAGGTCATTTCCCCAGTGAACCACAAATCATGCATATACATATATACAATTCTTATTATGGTATTTCCTGGCTTTTTATGGTTTGCCTACAACCTTAATATCCTTCAAATGTATATTCTGTATATTTATTTTCCTCTTTTTTTTCCTTTTGATTTAAGAGACAATAAAACCAACTGCTATGTAAGATCAGACCCATTAGTTTCAATGATGTGAATTTAGGATTCTCTGCATAATATAGAAATGTATATTTTTAAAATGTATATTATTTTTTAGATACGCTGGAGCATATATTTTATATTTAACTGTGGTCTGATGATTAAATACTTATATCAAAATATTTTGTAAATACATAACATTTACCTTTAGACTTCAGTGATTTTTAGAGCTTTTTCAGTGTATCATAAAAATATGTCCTCGGGCACATTAAAACCCTATTATATTTCTTTGAAATGTTGCCAATGCCCATGTACAGTAGCCACTACTCAAAAATGTCATGGCCATTAATACATTTTTCCTAAGATCCAAGCTGATCAGACCATTTAATGTACCACTAGCTTACCATATTTTTTTCTCTCTTAACATAAAATTATTCTGACATTATTGAGAATGAAAATAAAAAGCAATGAGAACCCAAACTTTTTTTAAATAGTCAAAAACTAATTTTATATATTTTAAAAAATAATACTTAAAAAACAAGTTTCTTTGCTGGGTTCCTTCTCGGTAAGGTTTAAGCCCAGAGCAACTTTTGTCTAAACCCCTGAAAATAGAGGTTTGCAGTGGCAGTGCTGTCAGAACATCTGCTCTGAGCCATGGAATGTGCCACTGGAATAAAATCAGCACTTCAGACTTACTTATCTGGGGATGCATGAGCCCATACAAACCAGAGTTTTCTCTAATTTAAGGTACTTGCACAAAGTTCTATCCTTTTAGAACTGTAAAATTATCTACCTATAAAAACTAACTCTTGCTTAAACTCTAGATAATAAGGACAGGTAATTTTTTTTTTTAATAAAAAATCTGCTAAAACACGTATATATTTACACATGGCGAGCAAGTTATTGTATAAATGTGGACAGTGTGTATATATTGGCATTTAGTAAAATGTTTCCCTGAACCTGATTGTATGCATTATCGGACAAGTATTGATGTAAACATCTGAACCTATGTCAGGTGTCTCTGTTACCCATTTACATTAGACCAGATCAAAACCAACCAGACAGACAGACAAACGAAAATGTGTTTTCCTGTTAGACGAGTCCACCTAACTCCTTAGTTTTATCTCCTGCACACAAAGTCAATCAAGTCTGCTGCTGAGCAGTGTTCTCGTTCTTACAGCAGGCAAAATACCTGTTAGGTGGGTTGTTTTCTGCTTGGCATTTTTTCCAACATCTTGTGGAGCAAACATCATTTCCAGAGCCAGCCAGGCACCCAGCCTCTACTCCTCCCCGAGAAACAATTAAAAGATAAATGTATAGGAGGAGAACCTCTCATGTCGCTCCTTTTGTAGCTCTGTTCCCTTGAAGAACTCATGACACTGCTTTGCACGAGGAAGGATGGTCATAATCCAAGTCCTGCTTCCAGAAAGGCATGTAAAAATGAACCTCCCCAGTGTTTAATAGCAGAAAAAAGATACAAATGTAAAAAAAGTGCTCAAAAAGAAGTTGACTTTTTGTATTCAGCCACACAGTCTAGTAAGAAGAGACTCAGAAGTGCAGGCCCACAGAGTACGGTGAAGGAAGCCTTTTAGGTGACTTTCTTCAGGTGATGCAAAACTAAATCATTATCTGTGGTCTCCTAAGCAGACTTTCCCACAAGGGGCTTCGTTCTCTGCCTTTGCCTCCAATTCTTACCCAACTACTTTTTGGCACTGTCCTGGTACGTGGCAGTTTTCACAGTTGTCCCCGTTACTGACCCCGCTGCACCCCTGTTACTGATGCGGCGTACCAGGACTTTGGAGACGGGGATTTTTGTTCTGTGCATCTCACTTTTGGCCAGGTGATGGTGTGCGACGTGATGGCTGTTACTGGCATCTGCTCCATGGCTAGCAGGATGTGATGAGGAAAGGTGTTTAATGCTGATGGGTATCTTGGAGTCCTTGGCGGCGCTGGAGGGTGTTTTCAGTGAGCTCACGGTCGTTATGGGAGACACAGGCTTGGAGCGTGGCACACTGGGGACTTCCTCATGTGTGGGCCCCGCTGGTGGGTTCTCATCCGGCTCAGCATACAGGTCATAGAGAGCATCCCCACTGTAGCTATCCCTGGGAAGGGTTTCCTTCTGGATGCTTGTGGAACTATCTTCCTCGGGACCAGGGGTGGTGGAATCCCAGTAGCCCTCATCGCTGTTTGGGACACCCTCATGCTGCTCCTTTTCCCTGCTCTTCTGCTCCTCTTTGTGGTTCAGGTGAATGGCAATCTGGTGGAGGCCACCACGTTTCACCACCACCCTATTCTGGGCCCCCTCGGTACCTCGGCTTTCCTTCAACCCCTCGGGCTTCTTTGTCCCTCCTCCGCTTCCTCCTCCTGGCGTCTTAGTCTCGTCCGTCTGTGACAGCATATCCCAGAACTCCTGCAGGCAGGTGTCATCCACCTGGTCGGGGCTGGCCATCTCCTCCCCTCCTCCCTGGTAGGCCACCATGGTGGGGTGCTTCTTGGTGGCCCCCAGCTTGCTGGGCCCGGGGGTGCTCTTCTCGCAGACGCCACTCCCGCCGCCCACATCCTCCTCATGGTCCGCAATAATATCTCCGCAGCCTGTAAGAGAGTCAAAGCTTTTCAGTGAAGTCACGTCAGCAAACATCAAACAAATACGATCAATCGATTGCTCTGAGGGTGGATCAACAGAGGAAGGGTCAGGGGCGGCTGCCGTCTCTTGACCGCTATCACAGTGAGGTTCAACAGGGGGGATAGTCGTTATTGGAATGTCACCTGTTATCGCCGCATCCTTCGCAGTCCCAACCTCTCCGGCGGCCGGCTCCGGTCGCTCGCGGCTGAGCTCCTCGGGTGGCCGCACGGCGGCGGCGGGCGGCTCCTCCCGGGCCGGGGGGCTGCTGGCCCGCGGCTCCGCGCCGCCCGCCTGGGGCTCCTCGGCCGCGGCGGGCGCCTCGCCGCTGCGCTTCTCCCGCGGCGGCTCCGGCCCGGCGACTCCCGCGCCGCTCGGGCTCTCAGACAAAGGTTTCGGCGTCTCCTCCTTGATGCACTCCAGGCTGGCGGTCAGGGAGCCCGGCATTATAAGGCCGGACGGGATGTCCGAGGTTTCCCCCCTCTCCTCCTTGCCGATTTTGTCCTTTTTGTGCCACCGCATGCTGCTGAAGATCCCCTTCAGCCCCTTCTTTTGTCTGCCGCCGGCCCGCGGCTCCGCGCCCTCCGCCTGCCTGCCGTTCTTCCTCAGCAGCGAGAAGAAGCTGTGCGACTTGGCCACCGCGCTGCCGGCGGGGCCGCCGGGGCTGCCGGCCGGCCGCTCCTGCGCCTCGCGGCTCGGCGCCTCGCCGCCGCCCGGTTCCTCCTTCTTGCTGCTCTCCAGCACGGCGTCGGCCAAGCCGTCGTGCGTCCGGCTCCGCACCATCCCCGGCTTGCCGGCGCCCTTACCCTCCCCTCCTCTGCTCCGCACCCCGAAGATGCTCGGCATGGTTCCCCCGGACTTCCTCCTCCTGAAAAGCTTGAAAGCGGTTTTGTTAATCCTCCCCGACGGCTGCTCGGCGGCCGGGGGCTCGACACAGTCGCAGTGCGAGTCCATTTCTGCCTCTGCCGCTGCAGCCGCGGCCGCCGCGGCTTCCCCTCCGCCGCGGAGCGCGGTGCGATCCCTCAGTGACAGCCCCGCCGCCGCCGCCCGCCCGTCTCCATGGCAACCCGGCGGAGGGAGGGAGGCAGGCAGGGAGGCAGGGAAGGAGGGAGGGAAGGAGGGGGATAAGCCGCTTTCCCCCGCCGCCGCCGCGGCCCCGCCGCCCGTTCCGAGCCGCCCCGCGCCGCCGCAGCGCCGCCCGCCCCGCCGCCCTTACATAACGCGGCCCCTGGCCGCCGCCCGCCGCCTCTCCCACGCACGGCCGGGCTCTCGGGTGCCCCGCGACGGTGCCGCGCCCGGGCGGGCAGAGCTCGGTTTTTATTTGTGACGGCGTTTTGCATCGCCGCCCTGTCCCGGCGGCACGGTCGCAGCGCGCTCCGGACCGCGGGCGTTGCGTGGCTGAAGCCGTGGGCTGGGGGATGCAGCGAAGCGCTCGCAGCACCAACAGAAAGAGGGGGCCGGGGTGGCCGGGGGGTGGTGGCGGTCTGCAGGTGCCAGTGCACCACACGGCAGGGACAGACGGGTGGGAAAATGGGACACGCAGACAGAACCCGGTACGTAAATACTCCTAGGGGCAGAGGAAAAGGATGCTAAGTTCTCCCCGCTCCCCTTGCTTTCCCATCTCCCACCTCACCAGGACGACTCCCACCGCCCCCGTGTCCCTCTTTCTCCGCAGTGCCCGGGGCCACATGTGCCCACTGCCGACGACCAGCAGTGGCACCAGCTGGGGCACAGCCCAGCCTTCTCCCCAGTCGCCTCCCCTGCCATGGAGCGGGAGCATGGTGGCAGCCCCCACGCAAACCTTCTCCCGGCCCCTGCAGCCACTGTGCACAGTCATGGCACTCAAATAATGTCCATGTCGAATTCCCACCAGCGATGATGGCCAACAGTCCAGTCACATCAAGGTGGCTGGTGTCACCCTGAAACTCCTACCTGGCTGTAAATCTATCCCAGGTGAGAATGGAACGGAATAGAGCAGAGCAGAGCAGTTGGGAGGAACGTACACAACAGTCATCCAGCCCAACTGCCCGACCTAAAGGCCTAAAGCACCTACTGTCCAAATGCCTCTTAAACACTGACAGACTTGGGGCACCAACCACCTCTTTAGAAAGCCTGTTGGAGTGTTCACCACCCTCTCAGTAAAGAAATGCATCCTAGTGTCCAGTCCTAACCTCCCCTGGTGCAGCAGAATCATTCCCATGCATCCTGTCACTGGATACCATGGAAAAGAGCTCAACACCTCCCTCTCCACTTTGCCTTCTCAGGGTGCTGAGGAGAACAGAGAGGTCACCTTTCTGTGTCATTTTCTCTAATTTAGACAACCCTGACCAAAATAACCAGCCCTGGGCTCCAGACTTGCTGAGTGCTCAGCTGGGTTATTTCAGCTCAGAGCAGACCTGCTCTCACCCAGAGCTGTAATAGTGCCTGTGCCCTGGCAGCCCAGCTGTGCCATACAGCACTAGTCTGGGCTCCTCAAAACAGAAACACTTGTCTGGGTTTAAGCTCTAAATGCAAGTGAGAACCACTAAAGAGAAGTCGTGTGTGGGCCCACTGGCATGGATCTCCCTTTGAAGTCAGTAAAAGGCTTTGCCATTGACTTCACTGGCTGGAAGAATTAGTTGTAGGTTTGGGTGTTTTTCTAACATCATCAGACATTCATTGCACTCTCCCATGAGAGCAGGTTGAATTATCTGTTGTGAATAATTTATCCAGTGAATTTAGTCCTGTTCATGTATAAAAGTGCCATTTGCATTCAGAATTAGAAGTGTTCAATAAGAGCAATATGAGCGAGCACATCATTCAACTTACAGGTCTCTTCTGCCTTCTGCCAGAGACAGAGGAAAGGACAGATGAGGCAGAAGTCAAGATATTGGCTGGAGGAGGAGGAGTGAGTTACATTTTACAGAGTACAGTCTGTAAAATTGCCCAGCACCCAGAAACCACAGAGACGGAGACAGACCAGAACCTTGACCCAGAGGTGCAAGTTCCTCACCTTGACTGTGCCTCCAGCAGTGGTACCACATCATGATTTTCCCCATTACTTGGTCATATTTCTGCTTTTTACACAAAAGAAACTTGATAAAAGAGAGAGAATACCAAATGATCCTGAGAAAATTCAAATACAAAGAGCCAGGCATACTTTCGAAATTTGAAAGAGCAAACCCTGATCATGTATCTTGGGAAAAAAAAATGGGTAAAAACGCTAACAAGTAAGGCTTGACCACCCAACTGAAATTCTCTATTTTTGTACTTTCATTTCACCAATCCTTTGTATTTCACCAGTTCTTCTGGATTCTTCTTACAATCCTTGGGTCCAATGGAAGGAGACTCAGAGATACAAAAGGCAGAAGAGAGGTGACCTAGTGCCTCACAGCTGTATGGAACAGACAGCTTATTGTGCCTTCTTTCTTTTTGTGTCAATATGTGTGGCTATGACAGAAAGAGTGGACTGTCAGCTTGTTTTTCAGCCAGCTTAAAATCCAACTGTTAGTGGAGGAAAGTGATTTGAAATCAACCTGAAATTACTACTTGGGAAATGTTTTGACAAATTGATTTTTTTTCTATACATTTGGTTTCAATACTTTTTTGCACTTTAAAAAACATTATTTAAGAATCTTGAAGTACCTCTGGAAATGGATAGTCATTCCAAAAAGGAAATGGTACGGCGCTGAATTTTGGAAGTGACTAATATTCCAATTTTTTCTTTTATCCTTTTGTTTTGACCTGAAGACATCTACGGATTCATAATGAACTTATGACATGCTTTTCAGTCCCCTGAATTACGGCAGGGATTTCTTTATGGCTTCCCTTAATCTCTGTAGGTCTGAAATGGAAGTCTGCTTCTGACAGTGAAAAATGTCATAACTCTGTATGCTTAGCAAGGAGGAAGAACGACTGACAGACACCTTGCAAAGTGAAAACAAATGAGGAGCTCTAATTTAAAAGCACAGAGAGACTCGGAGCCAGCAGGGAGCTCCGGATGACATGCAGACGCGGGGCAGCTGAGCCGCTGTTGATGGCAGAGCTGTTCCTACTGCATTCCCCCCGACCTGTTTTAGCCTGAGGGGCATCTGATGTGGTGGAAGAGCTCCCATGCTGAGCTGCATGGCACAGCCACACCAGCAGGTTTTATTCTAGCTGAAGGCGATAGCAAAAAGGGTCTGTTCTCCAAGGTGGAATTTTTTTAATGTTTAGATTGAGTATGAATGAAGAAAACCAGACAAGAAACACTATATTAAAAAATTATGCAAAAAAGCGTAATATAAAGAATGTAGCATTTATAGGTATACATTTTTTAATAGCAATTAAGGACTTTGTCATGAAAGCTTGTTTCCTGGACATATCCTACAGCTCTTTTGAGCTGCCTATCAAAGGTCACTGTCACAGACTGCTGGTCCAGCTCTCATCCTTGGCTCCAGCACTGACCTGTGCTGTGATCCTCAGGAAGCCAGGGCTTTGCTCCTTTCCGACCACAGTGCCTTCTCCAGTGACCCACGGGTGCCACCGTCCTGTCCCAGCCTGGATCCCTGCGGAGGCTCAGGGGCACCCCGCAGCTGTGGAACAGCAGGATCGGCGGGAATTACAAACCTTCTGCAGAGCCTCACCCTGCCTTCTCCCCAGGCATTACACCAGGCAAGGGCTCTCAGCTGCCCCAAAGACTGCAGGCTGTGGCACAGAATGAATACTGAATAACATCCTAGGCTTCATCAGGTATGAATTAGTGATGGGAATGACAGATAGCAAACCATCTTGTACCTCATTTTGACAGAAGCCCCAGTTTTTGGTATTTCAAGCCTGTCTCACGTGCTGAATGGGAGCACTGGGCACAGGGTGACAGGACAGGGGTGTTTGAACATCTCTGCAGGAGTTTTTCACTTCATGCTTCATTCCTGTGAAGCTTCAGTGACTCCAGAGTCAGTAGCAGCCCTCCCAACATAAGCAGGATATGCTCAGTTTTAAGCCAGAAAACTGACACAAAACTGCTCTTTTTTCTGCTGAAGTTCTTTACCTTTTTTTTTTGTTGTTGTTTTTTGTTAGCATTCTCTGTGGTTGTATTTCACCCACCACTTATACTATAGGTGCCTAGAATTGTTCAGGTCAGAAAAGACCTTTAAGACCATTTGAGTACCACTGTTAATTGTACAGATGCATATATAATTCATGGGGCTCAAAGATGCTACATCAATTTAAAACTTGTAGGTCTTCCTAATGATAAGCAGTGAATCTAAATCACTGTGAATGTGAATTGCAAGACTTTGGCTGGCACAGTGCCTGCATCTAGGCCCCAGCTGGTAATGGGAGAAAGTCAGCAGGCTTTTAGAAAGCAATAGATAATTACCTTGCCAGGATCTAGAATTAAAGGAGTGCAGGGAGGCCCAGAGCAATAATGTGTCCATAGGGAAAACAGGCCCACTACCTGAAAAGTTACTTTGAGCACAGCATTTTGTTTTCACATGATTAGGTGTGCTACTGCACAGTTAAAGTCTTCAGTGCATTACAGTACCAGGAAATGGGAGAGATGCTCTTTGCTGGATTACTAAATCAATGGGCTCATTAAGAGAGACATAAGTAGTGTCAGATCTCTACTGATACCTTAAAATCTGCTTAGGGAGCCACTGGGACTAGAAAAAGAGAACAGTTAAAACCAGCAAAAAAAAAAAAAATCAGAAAAAGAAATGGGGAATTGAAGAATCCCTCTTATTTTCCACATGAGCATTCTTGCTGTAACATGTATCAGTGGCAAGTGGCTGCTCATACAGGTAAAGGGGAAGAGTGTCTGGATTTCTAACATTTGCTGCTTCTTTGCATTTGTCTCCCAATGGATCAATACCCTCTAATACCACATATTTCCTTCCTTCCTCTCCAGCCCATTCAGCAGCTGCTAACAAGTGGTGTTAGGACATTTGCTTTGTTACTCCTACCTCCATTTTCCCAGGCTAGACCATTTTCCATAT